ATGTTAGCAGCCTTCCTTGTCCAGCTGTCTACTCTCCACCAGTGCTTCTTTCCCAACAGAGTGCACTGTGGTGCCAATATACAGACATAGCTTCCTGCAGCAGACAGGAATCTGGAGGTGCGTGCTTCATACGGTTGTACAGTTGAAGCGAACGGCAAGAACAATTTTGCAATGTTTTGATTAAGGCACTCTGGGACCTTTCGGCTCTTCCCTAGTGACAGCGCCTTTTTTTCAGTCCAGAGATTTCTTTTCCAGGCCTAAGCTTTTGGGATGACTGATCTTCCTACTTCACCCACATTCCGTTTCTCCTGACCCTCCAAACCTCAGGAGCAGGGTCTTTGCTTCTCCATCAGCTGTGCCGGAAGTTACCTTTGTTGCCAGCTCGGCCCGAGTCTTCCCCGGGTTCTCCTCACAGGAAAATGCTCCAGCTTTTCTAGCCCAGACTCCGCTTCTCTGATCTGGGGCCTCCCCTCCAGGAGCACACCCCGAGTGCCATTCCTGTCAGCGCTGCCTGAGCAAACACTTCTGTCCTCAGATTTTAAGGCTCTTCTTCAAAGGGTATTCCTCCAACTTCTCTGGGTCATTTTGTTTAATTCTTTTCTGGACCTTCAGTTATCCTAAAAACACATCTTAGCTTGTCATAGTCACTCTTGTTCACCATTTCAGTCTTCTTAGACAAGTGGAAAAATCCCTGTCCTTCACAGGGGTAACAGAGATGACCACAATCAAAGGCACGTTTACAGCTGAAGAACACTCTTGCCTCTCGAAGTTGTTTGTCATCTTCCTCTATAAAAGTAAAACCAGTTCAGAGCGCATACTTATGTTTTGTTACATCTACCACTTCCACCTTCCACTAACTAGTTTCCTTTCAACTATCAGTTTGGCAGAAAAGAAGATTTTTAAATGTACACTGTTAGTTTTTCTTTTCTTTAAAAGTTTTTTATTGTCAAAAATGCAAAAAGTACAAATAAACAAAAAGAAGTTATAAGATACTATATAATCCCAAAACCCAGACCTAACCACTGCCAACTGTTTTGATTCATACATCTTTCATATGTATCTGTGTATCTGTATCTATGCTACAAAATCTCCACACAAATTGGCTTTTGAAAATCTTTCAGATACTGAAAATGCCTGCCTTATGTTCAACTAAGTTTATCCCTTGACCACCTCTTGTCAGAGTGATTTCAAGAGATTTCTTTAAATAATGTGATAATGTGCATATAATAGTTGCTTAATTTATATAATCTCATTCATAATCAAACTAGATTAGGATTGGGGCCGAGTGGTTATGTTTGCGCGCTCAGCTTCGCCAGCCCAGGGTTTCGCCGGTTGGAATCCTGGGCGCGGACATGGCACTGCTCATCAAGCCACGCTGAGGGGGCGTCCCGCATGCCACAACTAGAGGGACCCACAACTAAAAATACACAACTATGTATCGGGGGCCTTTGGGGAGAAAAAGGAAAAATAAAATCTTTAAAAACTAGATTGGGGGGGCTGGCCCTGTGGCCGAGAGGTTAAGTCCGCGTGCTCCGCTGCAGGCGGCCCAGTGTTTCGTTGGTTCGAATCCTGGGCGCGGACATGGCACTGCTCATCAAACCATGCTGAGGCAGTGTCCCACACGCCACAACTAGAAGGACCCACAACGAAGAATATGCAACTATGTACTGGGGGACTTTGGGGAGAAAAAGGAAAAAAATAAAAAATCTTCAAAAAAAAACTAGATTGGGATTATATGACTTAATAAAATGGCTTTAATTGTGTTAAGGGTGCAACTTCAATGCAGTAGGTTTGTAGAAATGCAAACTATGCTATTAAGAAGCACTTAACAAAAGGTTCCACTCTTGCCATCATCATGTTTATTTTCATAGCCTTTATCCCTAAACTGGCTCATACTCATCAGTGATTAATGTAGCAGCACATTGTGTTAGTTTAACTATTTCAAACCTTAGCTTACGAATATACTTATCCTTTTTGAAAATAAGAAAAAACAGCTTCCCCAAGGAAGTTTCTACCCCATGTCCTTTATTGTCTCTTCAAGCGTTGGTCCCTCTCTCACTCTCGTCTTTTTACTGACTAATACTGATAAGGACTGTCCACACGAGCTGCCTTCACACCCTGACTCCCTAATCCCCCTTAACCTTGGACACTCTGGATTCCTCCCACACTGCTCTACTGACACTAGGTTCCTTATTGGTTAGGACAGAGGTTTTGGCTATTTTTAATTGGGTTGTTTATTCTTTTTCGATTGAGTTGTATGCCTTCTTTATATAATTTGAATATTAACCTCCTATCAGACATATGAGTTAAAAAATATTTTCTCCCATTCTGTAGGTTGCCTTTTCACTTTGTTGATGGTTTCCTTTGTGTTTGGAAGCTTTTTAGTTTGATGTAATCCCACTTGCTTATTTTTGTTTCTGTTACCTTTGCTTTTGGTGTCAGATCCAAAAAAAAATCATCATCAAGACCAAGGTCAAGGGGCTTACCCTCTATGTATTCTTCTAGGAGTTTTATGGCTTCAGGTCTTATGTTCAAGTCTTTAATCCATTTTGAGTTGATTTTTGTGTATGATGTACATATGTCCATTTTTAGATATATGATTTAAAAATATTTGTCCCAGTCTGTGGTTTGTCTTTTCATCTTTAAATGGTACCTTTTGAAGAGGAAAAGTTTTTAATTTTGGCAAAGGCCAATACACCATTTTTTAAATGGATTGTGCTTGTGGTGTAATATCTAATAAAACTTTGCCTAACCCAAAGTCATAACAATTTTTGCCTATATTTTTTTCTAGAAGTTTCACAGTTTTAGATTTTACACTTATGTCTATGATCCATTTTGAGCTAATTTTTGTGTATGGTGTGAGGTAAGGGTCTATGTTTTTTTTTTAAATGGATATACAATTATTCCAGCTTCATTTTTTAAAAAAAGACTATACTTTCCCACATTGAATTGTTTTAGAATCTTTGTCAAGAATTGACTGACCATAAATTCGTACATTTATTTTGGGATTTGCTGTTCTTTTACATTGATTTGAATGTCCATCTTAACAATGTTAACTCTTCCAGTTTATGAACATGGTATAATATCCCCGTTTATTTAGGCCTTTAATTTCTTCCAACGATGTGTAGTTCTTAGGGTATAGGTCTTGCCCTTTTATTAACTTTATTCCTAAGAAGTTTATTCTTTTCTGTGCTATTATGAGTGGTAATGTTTTCTTAATTTCATTATTGGATTGCTGTATTGATCTTGTATCATGTGGCCTTACTTTAAGTCTTTGGTTTGGTTTTGTTTTCAGTAGATTCCCTAGCGATCTTGCAGGGTGGAGGGCAGGAGACTCAGGCTTCTCCCTGGGAAAAAAGTCCCTCTCTCTCTCCCCAGGTCAGCCACAGCTCTGGTTCCATCTTTTTGATATGTTGAGGTTCAGCTTAAAAAACACTTGAATACAAATAATCTATTTTATTCCTCTTTCATTTTGCAGCTGGGGAAACTGATCTCAGAATCGCTGAGTGAATTGGACGCGTAGTTTAAAATGAAGTAAAAAATTACAAAGGAAAAATAATGTGTGACATGGATATAAAAAAGAATTGAATCCGTAAAACTGCAGCCAGTTTTGTTCCTAATGAAATATTTTATTCTCTCATTATAAATATTAATTCACGGCAGATACACCTCTTCAGCTTTATGCAAATTTCATAGAAGAAAAATATGTAGACTTGTCATTTTTCTTATCTTGAATTGAAGCTGCATTTGAAAAGGTTAAAAGGCTGCATAATTACACTGTTATTAAATGTCACGTGGACTGATATCGTGCAGGTTAGGCCAAGTGGCTCTGTAACTTGTGTGTTAATTCTTTGCAAACCTGCATATGGGAGGCCCCCAACGATATTGTTACTGAAGAAGCAGTCCTTCTCCCGACTTCGTTGCTGGTAGTGTCAGCAAAGCCGGTGAATCTCTGCCATGTCTTTCCTGTTTATTCATGGAGGGTATAGTGGTATTGCAGCAAGCTTCTTGCTTTTCATATATAATTGTTTCTCCTTTTAAATTTATATCTCATGTAACATTTTAATAATTCTCTTTATATGCATAGCTCACTTAAATTGTATAATAGCCAACTTGTTATTAACTCTTTTTGACAGAAAATAGTTAGTGAGAGCTGAACACTAACAAGCAGAGAAAGAAAGCCACTGAGACTCTCGATTATTAATAGAAGCAGGAGTTATACTCTGAGACTTTTTGACACAAGATACAGGTAGTTAAAGGTCTTATTTAAAAATGGCACGGGACTCTGACAGCAGAAATGCTCTGAAAATCCCAATGATGGAAACAAGAAAAGAGAATAATGAATACATTTTTAAAAATATTTAGAGAAGTCTGCCACTTAACCTTGGTAGAAAAACTAATCAAAGTTGTTGTACAGTAATTACAAACCATTACACTTTTGTCATTTACTTAACTATATTTACATACCATAAGCATTAAGTGTCTTCAGTCAGATAAGAACAGGACAAAATAGCTACTTGTTATGAAGTATAAAGTGAAGACTGCTGCCTTTAAATCTACCACTTTTTGTTGTTATGATCTCAGGAGGGTATCAGGGAGAAGCTGGAAAGGAGAAATTGGGTCGTTGCTATACAATGAGATACTAGAAATTTTCACACAGCATGACTATTTTCACTTAGAAACAGCTTTATGATTGGGGATTTGTATGCCTGGCAATATATAAAACTGTAACTCTCCATTGTATCTTAAAACAGAAAATGAATGCTCCAAGACCCAAAGATATTTTTATAAACATATTGCTCACACAGAGAATTACAACATATCTTAAAGTACAAATGTAGCATGTAAGGAATATAAATATAACTACATATTTTAAATTGATTGCAAAAAAATAATATTACCAGTCTTTTTTTAATTCAGAAGCTTTTTGGTAGTATTTGATGGCTCAGGGGTCATTTAATATCTATTGAGGTCATGTGCGCCTATGCCTTCCTTTTCTTCTGATCCATTTCCATACAGCAAGGAAAAGGTATACAAGATGGTTCCCTTGACCCTAAAGCTATGTTGAAAATTTATTTTATGACAACGGTGTTTTACTTATTAGTAAGCATTTTTTAAAGTATCTATTGTCTTTTGGTACCTGCCGTGGTAGAGAGGGCCACTGCCAAGCATTATACATTCACAATGGTGCCACCTCTGAAAAACAGCATGCTCCATCTCAGGGAGGTCAGGTGTCTGGGCCTGGGGGTCAGATCTTGGCTCTGTCTTTTATTAACATGTGAACTTGGGCGATTTACTTAATCTCCCCTAAACTTAGTTTCATTAGTTTCACTGGGATAACAACAGCAACCACAAGAGATTGCTTTGAGGATTAAAATGGATGTACATAAACGTAAGTCCTGGCTCCTAATAGCCACTAAAATGATAGCTATGTAGTAACAATGTTTTGCTCAGCCCTACCTCTGGACCAGGAGGTAAAAGCTTTGGTGGGAAGAGTAAAGAAATAATGAAAACCTTCTTCCTCTCTGTTTCTTGCTTGCCCTCTGTCCTCTTTGTATTTCTCTACTGTAGTAAGTAGTAGCACGGGGTAGAGAAGGCTCTGGAATGTTGAGAAGGGCCGGAGCCAGACTCCAGGCTTACCTGAGTGTTGGTTCCAGGATTTCAGTGGAAAGGGTGAAGCAGATCATTGAGTTTACTGTGCAGGTAAGCTCACCAGGGTTATACAGCAGACAAAGATGGAGCCTGAAGCTTTAGTGAGGAGTGTAGACCATGCCCTGGGCTGTAGTCTTTTGTGTTACATTTCTTAAGGAGTCTGAGAACAGCAATCTATGACAAGATGGGCTGCAGGTGCAGAATCCTAAACAACTCTTGTACCTATTAAATTAGCAAAGGTAATTTTTAAAAATTAAACGTCAAAAAAATTTTAAGTTGATACCCTCCTGATATCATAACAACAAAAATTGGTAGATGTAAAGACAGCAGTCTTCACTTTATACTTCATAACAAGTAGCTATTTTGTTCTGTTCTTATCTGACTGAAGACACTTAATGCTTACAATATGTAAATATATTTAAGTAAATGACAAAAGTGCAATGGTTTGTAATTACTAACATTATTAAAGATCGAGCTCTTGACCATTCAAGGCCCACATCCTACATCTCAAGATCCAGAGGAAAAAGAAAACTATCTTTCCCTCTTCAACTTGGGCATTGATTGGACGGACTTGGGTCACATGTCCTCCCACCAACAAACCAGTCACCGCCCAGAGAATTAGCAGACATTTGGTCCTGTCCAAAATGTCCATAAGACATTTGGTTTTGGACAGGACAAATCTCAAGGACCTTTTGTCATGGACCAAATGTCTTACGGATGTTTTGGACAGGACCAGATGTTCTGCAAAGGCCCAGAGGAATACAGAACAATGAGAGACTTACCAGTGAAGGTGGATACCATGAACAATCATGCTCTTCAGACTACTCTCCTCATGCATTCTCCAAAGGAAAGGGGATGATGGTACCAGATAATGGACAATGGGAAGATGTCCTAGACAAAATAAATAAAAGTCACTAGAATCCAATATTCTGATCATGCCCTTTGCTATGACAATATTATTCCTGAGAATATATCTCAAGAAGTAAGTTGAAATGAGGGTAGGGGATGGGAGCCAACATATCATAGCTGTCCACATTTTTAACTTAAAATCAAAACAACACCCAATCTGGAAATGGCCCAAATGCTCCAATACTGAGAAATGGTAAAGGTACTTTGGTGCATTGTAATAATAAGCCATCTTATCCAATTCAATTTATTAAAGATTGAGAGTGTACTTTGTTCAACAGTTAGATAGTGGGAACGCAAGGATGGATAAGACATGGTCCCTCCGTGCCCTTAACTGGTCACATTGTCGTGTTAGTGATAACAGTAATGAGCATTTTTGAGCACTTACCAGTTGACAGGCAGTGTGTCAAATGCTGTATTCTTACAAATTCAATCCTCTGAACAATATTTTGAGACAGGCACTTTTGTTATATCCATTTTGTAGATGACGAAACTGATTTTAACTTCCCTCAAGTCACGCAGCTAATAAATGATGGAAATGGCACTCCATCTGAAGGCTTCTAACTCCAAAGTTCACATTGTAATAGAAGTTTAAAACAAAGCTGCAGGAACACAGCAAGAACGATTTTTTTACAGCATTATTGAGTTATAATTTGACATGCAATAAGCTGCACACATTTAAAGTAACAATTTGATAATCACTGAAATGCACCTATGAAGCAGTCTGTTCTCTTCTCTCTGACTATAGAGTCATGCGCATTTCTAGGATTTTGTATTTGTTTGACTTCTTTGAGTCAGCCTAATGATATTGAGATTCATCCATATTGTTGCATGTATCAAAAGAACTGAACAAAAGTTCAGTTGAGTAGTATTGCTGAGTAGTATTCCATTATTTGGACAAAAACGGGAATTTTGATTGTAGTTATGGTTATATTACTGTTATGTGTTTGTCACAGTTCATCAAATCATACACTACACTTAAAACAATGTATCTGTTGTATGTAAATTAGACGAAATTACATATTTAGCCAAATTTTGCTATATCGGTTACAACTAATTTAAACTTACATGAGAGCACGTGTTCCTCTACATTCTGCCAACAGGGATAATACTAAACAAATTTTTAATCTCTGTTAAGCTTATAGATAAATAGTAATATACCATTGCTTTTTTTACTTGCAACTTTTAAAGTATGTTCTGGATGAACATTTATTTTTACTCAGTATTTTTTATATATGAAATGACTTTTCATATTATTTCCCATATTTCTATGTCTGGTGTTCATCTTTTCCTACTGAGTTGTAAAAATTCAATGTAGATTTTTAAATGGCACTTTGCAACCTACATTCAAATGTTTTTTGCCAATATGTTGTTTTTAACTTTACAATATATAGTTTTCATGGAAATGCTACTAATTTTATTTTTTTTAAAGATTGGCACCTGAGCTAACATCTGTTACCAATCTTCCTTTTTTTTTCTTCTTCTTCTTCTTCTCCCCAAAGCCTCCCAGTACACAGCTGTATATTCTAGCTGTAGGTCCTTCTGGCTGTGCAATTCAGGACGCCGCCTCAGCATGGCTTGATGAGCGGTGCCATGTCCACACCCAGGATCCAAACCAGCGAAACCTGGGGCCGCTGAAGCAGAATGTGCAAACTTCACCAGTAGGCCACAGGCCAGCCCCAAAATGTTACTAATTTTTACATAGTCAAATTTATTCTTCTATTCTCTTCCTTTATATAGTTCTGGTTTTATATCATACTAAGAAAGGCCATTCCTACTCCAAAATTATATACAGTAATCTATGTTTTCTTCTAGTACCTTATGGAGTCTTTTTTTTTTGTGAGGAAGATTCGCCCTGAGCTTACATCTGCGCCAATCCTGCTTTACTTTGCATGTGGAATGCATCCACAGCACGGCTGATGAGTGGAGTAGGTCTGCGCCCAGGACTGAGCCACTGAACCTGGGCTGCCAAAGTGGCGTGAGTGGAACTTTCACCACACAGCCACGGGGTCAGACCCCTGGAGTCATTTTGGTTATCAAATTTTGCTTCATGCAGAGTTTATTTTGGTATAAGTTGTCTGAACATGACTTATTCGAAAAATCTGGCTTTTTCCCACTAATGCCACATTTATCATATACTAAATTGCCATATCTATTGGACTTTATTTATGGATTGTATTCTGTTCAATTAATCTTTCTAGTCATATGTTCTATATTTTTAAGTGTTGATAATATTCACAATCTTACCCTGAGAAATGAGTGTGCATCTATCTGTTTTCTAGCTGCATCTTATCATGAGAAAGATAATAAGTAATTGCTCAGCTTAGTATTTTAATAAACCCAATGCAAAGTATCAATCTTTCAAATACACTACTTAATACCTATTACTGAGTGTTATATTTAGATTAGATCAAAATAATAACTCTAAAAGTAAAAATGTAACAACATAGGATACTAGGAAAATTTTTAATCTTTTAGCATCAGTGAATGACCCTACAGTACTATATTTAGTTACCTTATTTAAGAACTCTAACATAGCAAAATCTTTTTGTAGTTTTATGGTCTTCTCCAAGGAGTGATTGGTACTGATGTTTAGTGCAGCAAACAGTGATTTTCTGATTGCACTAGTTCATTAGGACCGAGCTAGAATGAGCTTGCACATTTTGAATTAGACTATGGAAGGGTGAAAGTAGTAAATGAACCTTAACTCCATTTCCAGATTGGCACGTGGAAACCCAAAAGGTGCCCTTTGTCCATAGTCATTTCTTCAAACACTGAAGAATTAATAATGCTTCTGCTCTAAATGAATGTGTTAAAACTGGAAGACTAGAGAACAAATCTTTTTCAATAACAGGGTCAGTAAACGTGAATCATCATTTGTCTACCGATCCAGTAGGTTGTAAGAATAGACTGAGGTTTCCATGGCTTCCCCAGCCTGGGTACAAATGGGGTCATGGCCACAGCAACAACCTCAAGTCCTCCTCTTTTTTGTGTCATGATATTTTAGATGAGTTCTAGTTATAAAACAGATAGCTAGGTTGTATTTTGAAACCCTGTTTGACAATCTTCATGTTTCAAAAGACTAGTTTAACCCATTTTCATTTATTATGATCACTCATATATTTGGATTCACTCCTACCATATTATATTGTGTTTTCTACTTCTCTGCTTTATATCTATTCCTCCTCCTTTTGCTTATCTATTCATTTATTTATTTATTGGATTGATTGAGTTTTCTTTACTCACTTTCTCCCCCTTTAATAATTTGAGAGTTACTGATTGCACTTGACCAAAAATCTAAAATTAGTCAATATCCCTTCCTCCTTAAAACACAAGGACTCTGATGACAACAATCTCTTCCCACGCGCGCTCCTCCGTGTTAATCTGGACTGTTTCTTAGCTTCCCCTTATTTTTTCCAGTTCCACAGTAGTGATTCTTCACTTTCTTTTTCTTTCTTATGTAAACTGCTATTAACCTGATCTAGCCTCATCATTTTGCTCATAATATTCTTACAGTCCACACCTTGCTCTGGTTTAAATTTCCTGAAGTATATGCTTTTATAAATCTTTCTTCAGGGATCTGAGTGCAAAAAATTTATTCTTTCTTTGTTTAGAGGGATTTTATTTTTCCTTACTCTTGAAGACAATTTCTCTGGTTATAGATTTATAGACTGAGAATTATTTTCCTTCAACATTTTGAAATTATTATTCTATCATCTTATGACTGTTGACAGACAAGTCTACAGTCAGTCAGTTGAACTTTTTCCATCATAAATACACTGTCTTTTCCTCTTTGATGTCTTCTAAAATTTTCTTTCTGTCTTTGGTATTCTGTACTTCGGTGACAGTGTGTCTACTTCTGCCTTTCATGTGACTTATCCAGCAGAGGACTCCGTGTACCTTTAGTCTGAAGATTCATGTCTTTTCTTTTTTTTTCCATGTCTTTTAATTCTAGAAAATTTGCATTCATTTTCTCTTCAAATATTGATGCTCTTCTATTCTTTCCTTGTAGAACTGTTCTCAGATGTATGTTTGACTTTCTAATTAAACCCTTCATATCCTATAACCTCTCTTTTGTGTTTTCCATATCTTTCTGCTTTCTGTGTAAGATCCAGAAATCTATCTTCCAGATCACTAATTATATTTTTTACTATTTAAACATTTATTTAGTTTTGAATTCCAATGACTGCAATGACTATATTAATTTATAAAAATATACTTGGTTCTTTTAAAATTTTGCCTCCTTTTTTTCAGTGGCTTATTCATCATTGTGATTGCCATTAATTCTTTCATCTCTTTGATCATTTAAAAAAATTTATTTTGTAGACTTTTTGAGATTGTCCTGTTACCTGATGTTCTTAGCCTGCCAATTCTTTAGTTTGTTATGTCTGATGACTTTTATTCATGCTAGGTCATCTTCTGTTGTTTGTAAATTTTTATGGCTAGCTTAACTTTATTGGGGGTTTGCTTTATATGCGTGAATAAATGCATCCTAGAAAGGTCTCCATGAAGCAATTTTGTGGTTCTTTTTTCCCTGCTAGGTGCCCTAAACTATTTCAATAGTCATGGATAATTTTCAAATTAAGGTCTTACCCACCATGGGGTAGAATAAATTCAAATGGTCTACACCACTCACAGTGCTGATGGAATAGTCTCAAGGCTTTAATTTCTTAGGGGATACCCCTTTCCCTAGCTGTCACAAAATCAGGCAGATGACTGGTTACTTTGCATCTTCTCAAAACTTCATGGGTGAAGTTTTCTAGTCTCCTTTTTGTAGAAATAGCAATGCTTTGGTGGATCCTAGCTTAATCGGGGGCTCAGTTCCAGTTCCTTATTTGGGGTCAAGGCTCTATGACAAAGTTAGCCAAGTCTCTATAAAGACATTAAAACCCCAATTCCTAGTCATTAGTCCTGATTAGGACTTCTCCTTCTGGTGGTGGTGGACTAGGTAATTTGGACCAATCCTCTTATTGAAGACAACTAAAAAGGTGTTAGAGGGACCGGCCCGGTGGCAGAATAAGTTCACATGCTCCACTTCAGCAGCCCGGGGTTCGCTGGTTTGGATCCCAGGTGCGGACCTATGCACCACTCATCAAGCTGTGCTGTGGCAGGCACCCCACACATAAAATAGAGGAAGATGGGCACAGATGGGCCAATCTTCCTCAGGAAAAAAGAGGAGGATTGGCACCAGATGTTAGCTCAGGGCTAATCTTCCTCACCAAAAAAAGAAAGTGTTAGAATACAACAATCATATTCTTAAAAGCATCAAAAAAATTTAAAATATATTGAGGAACTACTGGAGCTATATGAAGAGTAGAGGGCGACAAGTCAAAGATTTGCTTTCACCCTGGGGTCATTTGCTGATTCATAAAAGATAGCTGAGAGGACACTGAGAGATGTAGAACACCCAGATCCCCCATCAAGGAAGTACTGGGTGCTCCAGCTGCTGAGAGCACTGTCAACAGAGAGCCTTCAGTTATTATCTTTTTCGGGGATTGTCTTAGCTGTAGAGAGCCACCTGGCCAAGATTACGCCATTCCTAGGATGACCCACATCCAACAGTTGAGATAGGGGTAGAAAAGCTTGGTCCTTTTGGTTCTACTTAGGACTACACTAATA